TTCGGCAACCGTACCCTCCTCCCTCTCTGGCTGCCGTTCCCCTTCCTCGTGCTCCTGCTATGATTCCATCCTGTCGGGCGACGGAGTGGCTCATCCAGGCCCATCCCCTCCCTTGGGATGCATTGTACTCGTGCTTCAGCTCCAAGACAAGGCTGGATGAGGTGTAGAATCTGCCCTGGGGCATGATGCACAAGTTCTTCCACAACTCCTCCCCGCAGCGACGTCTCGCTCTGGTCGCTGTTCCCTCTCGATGTTGCGCTGCATCCCCTGCTGTCACTATAAGACGACAGCTGCTGGCGTTCGCCTGATTCCAGATCTTCGCAATACTGATCAAACGGAGGCTTTGAGGAAGTAACATACAATTATTAGTGGCCAATTGCGCAGCCCATGGCAACATTAAAGTAAACCCGCCGCCAGGTCGAAGGGAACAGAGTGGGCTGCCCGAAGGTCCATCCGAATTCTCATTGGAATCTTGCATATTCTTCAACGAAGACGCAGATCCAATATTTCCGGCTTCCTGGGCCCCTGTTCGAAGAGAGCCACTCTGCTAACTGGCCCGAAGACATTCGTCCCAGACTTCACTTCTGGATTCATTGTCAGAACGCCAAGGTCCTCACGCGCGTCAGAGAAACCGGGAGTCCGACCTTCCTGAACTTCGTCGCCTTCCCTCCGTGGAGTGCCACTTCCCTACTTGGTCAGGGACCTCTGGGACACTGAGACAATGGGACGCTGTCCCAAAGCAATCTGCAGAGCGGATGGAGGAGGGGACAAAAACACTGGAGTCCAAGGCTCTGTTGGCCCTCCCTAAAACTGTAGAACTGGTCAAGGAGAAGGCGGAACAAGAAGAATGAAGAGGGATGAGGAGGGGATGGTCGCGTCAAGGGCTTCCGCGTTGAATTCCTGGCTCTGCCTTCAGTGGGTGGTATCTCCGCCGATCCACTCAATCGTTTTCCCCGCGCTCCTCCCGTACCTAGATTGCTGTGCTTATACTCAACCGCGCTTGCAGCGGTTGGAGAATGTCGGCCCCTTGACTTGTTCTGTGGTTTCGTCTTTGCAGCGCTGGAGGAAGCCCCATCCCCCCCGACGCGTCTGCTACAGCGTGCCTTCATTTTCGACCAACTCTCACTGCGTGCCTTGGCCCTCCGACTAGAGAATGGTGCCACAGTAAGCCTAGACAACCCCCGCCCCGTACACTTTTGGAGTCCCAGAACGGTGCGGTGACAGACCGTGCGGTGACCTCGGAATCCCACGAGATCTCACCGCGCGGTCCGTCACCGCACGGCCTTGGGACCCCGGAGGCCCCCGTCGCCCGAGACGTCCTCGGAGTGCCAAGACCGTGCGGTGACCCCGAATCCCCTGTGACTCACCACGCGGTGTGGTCACCACCCTGCTTGGGGGCCCCCATACCCTGAGGCTGGAACAAGAGGAGGAGGAGGAGGAGGAGGAGGAGGAGGAGGAGGAGGAGGAGGCCCCCGTACCCTGAGGCCCAGGGCCGAGACAAAGGCCACGGCCGCCCGCCGGGGCGCGGCGGCGGAATCGCGCACCGCGGCGCAACCTGGCAGCGGCAGCATGCTTCCCCACGGTCCGTTGGACACCACGTGCGCACAACTCTGTCAAATTACAGTCGAGGCGTTGACCTAAGGAACCCTAACTAAGGAACGAGGCCCCTATTTTCCATAAGTTGAACTTCGATTTCGTATCGAAAACCTAAGGGAAATCAAAGGCAAACTGCGAAACAATTAAGGAACACGGAGCCCCTCCCCAACGAAACGGGTTCCTTCTTCAGGGCCCCGACTGTACGGTGGAGGTTTTGGACAAGGATGCCTTCGATAAAGAACCAAAGGGTCTCGCGACCGATGTCGCCTTGAAACCATAAGGCATGCGCCAGGGTCTGGGCCCCAGGAAGACGTTCCTTATCCAATGCCCGCCGCCGCATGGGCGCACCCCGCAACCTCTTCTCCACGAGCTTGGCGGACAGGGCAGGCGCACGGGCAGAGGCCAATTGGCAGACTGCCCTGTTCGCCGGGGCAGGTCCGGGGCGGTGATAGTTGGGTGGCAGTTTGACGGGAGGCAGGGGACTGTTTCAGTGGCGGTCGTGATCGCGCTTGTAGAACATGGCTACTGTAGCTGTTGGCTCTATCGGGTGTCGCTTTCAGCCCCCCGGTGCGCGCACCAGCGAGCTCCCAAGATGGCCAGATGCAGGCAGAGGCCGCGAAGACGACCCAAGAGGCCCACGATGCGATCCACAATGCCTCCCAGGAGGTCCCCAAGTACGGCCCCAACATGTCCCAAGGTCACAACGACAGCCCCAGACACCGTTTGACTTGATGGCCCTGGTGGGCCGCAGGGCATCCGAACTTCGGCCCGAGGAGCGCAAAGACGACGAAAACTGGCTCCGCGGCGTTTCCCAAATCGCTTACGCGACGACTGAGAACACGCATAACCCAATAGCCGAAGCCTGGGCGTTGCCGCAAAGGCAATAGAGCGGCACTTAGTCACTCGGATCGTCTGTGGTAGTACGATTCCATCTAACTGTACACCATTCACACGTGGAGCATCCGGAGGTACGCGTGCGAAGCACAGCCTGCGCGACCATAGAAAAGCCGAGCACTGGACAGACAAAAACAGGCGACATGTGCATCCAACCCTCGTCCAGACCGGCCGTTTGATGTGTACCCAGGTTCCTGGTACGCTCTCCTTCTTCCCCACATTCGCGAGAAACGCGTCAATACACAAATGTCCTCCGAAGTGCACCCGCCTGCCGTGGGGCAGAAATTGGAACCACTCTAGACTATCCGTGTGGACGATGCACTCCTGCATCAGCCTGACCATCTTCAAGCTGCTGCCGTAAGGAATTCGAAGCAAGGAACGAAGCCCCTTCTTCGACCCAAGGCACCTGGGTTCACGAGGAGCGCTAGAGGAATTACCCTGGCGAAAAGACCCAACCATATGCAGCTGCGAGTACAGTCGTTGCATCGCGACTGGAGCCTTGGGTAGACACCGCCGCTGGGGCAACCACATGTGGGCACCGCCACTGGGGCCTTCGGTGGAACTCACTGTGGGGCCACGAAGCGTGCAAGGGGTGTGCACATGTGGACACCGCCACGATGGAGTCACGAAACGTGTGAGGGGTGCACGGATATGGGTGGGGCGGCCGCATGTGGACATGGCCACTGGGAGCTCCCACTGGCCATCGCTCGGACGTCCATTCCCTGTTTTTGTTTCGGTTTCGTGCGTGGGTTTTTTTCCAAATGATCAAGGATGCTCCTCGATGGTCCGCGCCGAAGGAAAAATGCACACGTCCGAGCGATGCCAAGCATGGGGTCACAACACGTGTAAGGGGTGTGCCGCAAGTGGTTGTGCGGCCGCAAGCGGACATCGCCAACATGGCCTTCGGCTGAGCTCCCAGTGGGGCCACGCAGCGCGTGAGGGGTGCGCAGGGAAGGGTGGGGAGGCCGCCTGTGGGCACCGCCGCTATGGCCTCCGGTGGAGATCCTCATGGGGCCACGAAGCGTGTGAGTGGTGTGCCGACATTCGTTGGGCGGTCGCATGTGGAAACCGCCTCTGGGGCCTTCGGTGGAGTTCCCTCTGTGGCCACGAAGTGTGTCAGGGGTGTGCCGGCATGGGTTGGGCAGTCGCATGCGGAAATGGCCACTGGGGTCCTCCAAACGAGCTCCCCCTATAGAGCCACGAAACTTGCTGCGGGTGTGCCGAAAATGGGCCGGGCGGTCGCATGTGGACATCATCACATCATCACCTGGGCCTTCGGTGGAGCTCCCTATGGGGTCACGGGACGTGTGAAGGGTGTGCCGAAACGGGTGGGGCGGACGCATGCCTGGCCATCGCTCGGACGTCCATTCCCTGTGTTTTTTCGGTTTCGTGCGTGGGTTTTTCGCCAAGTGATCAAGGATGCTCCTCGATGGTCCTCGCCGAAGGAAAAATGCACACGTCCGAGCGATGCCAAGATGCAGACATGGTCATCGGGACCTTCGGTGGAACTCCCTGCGTGGCCACGACACGTGTGGCGGGTGTGCCGGAATGGGTGGGGCGCCGCATGCGGGCGCCGCCTCCGGGGCCCTCGGTGGAGCTCTCGCAAGGGCGCCACGAAGCGCGTGAGGGGCGTGGCGACATGGGTGGGGCCGCCGCACTTGAACGAAGGATTGCAAAAAAAACCCAGGATTGCAAAAAAAGGATTGCAAAAAAAGGATTGCGAAGGGTTTTTTTTGCAATCCTTTGCAATCCTGGGTTTTTTTTTTTGCAATCCAGGTTTTTTTTGCAATCCTTCGGACGCGGTCACTGGGGCCCTCGGTGGAAATGTCTGTGGGGGCACGAAGCGCGCGAGAGTGTGCCGGAATGTGTGGGCGGCCGCGTGTGGGCATGGCCACCTGCACCCTTCGGGAGGAGCTCCCCGTGGGGCCCCGACGCGTGCCAGGAGTGTGCTGACATGGACATTCGGAGTGCGGGGGCAAGGATGGGAGGGAGGAGGAGAGGGAAGGAAGGCGGAATGAGACGCGGGGCGCCGTTTCTTCAAAGCGAGGACCCAACACCACAGGATGACTGAGAAACACAAGAGAGGACCTAGAGAACAGCGAGCACCTCTCAGATCCGAGTTGTTCCCTATTTCATTGACTGGACTGTACATGTTCGAGCAATCGGTCTGGCAGACGGGGGCGATGTCACGGGGCCAACGTTGGCGCGGCGGGCCCCTACTGCGGAAGCGGGGCGAGCGGGCGTCGGGGATGATGCAGGGAAACTCTGGCATTCTATAATTTGGGTAGGCACCTGCTGCCCTCTTTCCCCTGGAATCCTACCCCACTGCTTAATCTTTTTCACCCCCAGCGCAGGGCACAACTCGTACCAGTCAGGGAACCACAGCGGAACGCTGTCGCCAACGCGCGCCACAGACCGCCAAACAGCCACGGCCGACTGCTTCTTCCAGAGCGATGGACTCGTCCGTGCGACCTGGCAGCAGTGAGTCTGCGAATGCGCCTACAATGAATCTAAAAGAAGAGGAGCCGCTGCTCTAGAGGTCTCCCAGATGGGATCTGAGTAGATGGGGTCGGAGGATCGCGACGCATCGACGATACATTCGCAATGCATCGTCCAAATATCGCCCATGCATCGTCGACGTTGGCGATGCATCGGCGACGTCGGCGTGGAACACATCGGGCTCCACATCGATGCTGCGCGATCCTCCGACCCCATCTGCTCGGAAGGAGGAGAAGGAGGAGGAGGAGGAGGAGGAGGAGGAGGAGGAGGAAGACGGGGGGGAGGGGGAGGGAGGAGGAGGAGGGGGAGGGAGGAGGAGGAGGACGGGGGGAGGGGGAGGAGGAGGAGGAGGAGGAGGAGGAGGAGAGGAGGACAGGAGGAGGAGGAGGACGGGGGGAGGAGGAGGAGGAGGAGGAGGAGGAGGAGGAGGAGGAGGAGGAGGAGGAGAGGAGGACGGGGGGGAGGAGGAGGAGGGGGAGAAGGATGGGGGAGGAGGAGGAGGAGGAGGAGGAGAGGAGGAGGAGGAGGAGGAGGAGGAGGAGGAGCAGGAGGAGGAGGTGGAGGAGGAGGAGGAGTAGGAGGAGGAGGAGGAGGAGGAGGAAGAGGAGGATGAGGAGGAGGAAGACCATCTCGGAGGCCTCGACGCTCCGAAACAAAGTCATGGGCCCCCCGCGGCATGCGGCACGAGATCCTGCGTTCGCATGCTGTACCGCGTGCCGCTCCGCCGCCGGGTGCTGTCTCCGCCGCCTGCCCTTCGTCGTGCCGCACCTCCCCGCCTCTGTCGGGGACGGACAGCACCCCCTTCAGCAAAACGTGGTTTAGTGAAAGCGACCTCGGGCCCAAACCTGATGGGCCTGTTTTCCACCACCACCACCACAAACTGGAGAGGGGGGAAGGAGGAGGAGGACGGGGAAGAAGAGGAGGACGAGGAGGAGGAGGAGTACCCCCTCCCCCTTCAACTCATGGTGGTGGTGGTGGGAAACAGGCCCATCAAAACCTGGCGGGCGCAAGCCTGGAGAAGGACGGCCGCGGCGCCCGCTCGAGAGCCGAGAGCGGGCAATTCACGGATCGGCGTGCCAGGGTGGGGGCTCTGTCCACCCCCGACTCCTCCCCGCTTATCTGAAGGGGCCCAGGGACACGCAAATAGATAGACACAAATCCCCAAATCCCCCATGTGTCAATTCTCGGCTTTCGTCTTCCCCACCATCTGCCATGTGTTCCAAATGTTCCGAAACATCGGCGATTCTTTGACTACGTGTGTGTTTTTCTACACTGCTGAACATCATCCGGTCAACCTGGCGCCTCCTCCTCCTCCTCCTCCTCTTCCTCCTCCTCCTCCTCCTCCTCCTCCTCTTCCGCAAACGTGCAGAAGTGGCTACTTCATGCAGGTGGCTGCAACCTTCTCCACCATCACCACCCCCGCCTCCTGGGCACGCCCAAGAGGCCGAGAGCCAGCGGTTCAAGCGGTCCCCTTGTCAGGCGGACAAGGGAACAACAGACAATGAAAGGAAGGATGGCATTTCCGTGAATTGCTATATAACTGGCGACTCAGGAGCCTCTGCAACAACATATCCGCCGTGACCGCGCGCTGGGGCTCACGACGGCCTGCATGTGGCCTGCACCGTGACACCCCGAAAGTGTGGGGAAGCTGTCCATCGCGCCGCCTCGTATGGCCCCTCGAGCGCCCCCTACGCCTTAGGGCCACTCCACGTCACCAGTCCTTTCTTCAAGGCCATCTCGAGCGTCCACGCGAGAACCTCGGCGCTCTGGCCCTCTGGAAGCTGGACCTCGGCCCCAGGACCTGCCTGCCCTGCATCGGCGGCCTCGTCGGCCGCGGCCTCTGCTGGCTCCGCGGAGCCCGCCACGGGGGCCGCCTCCCCCACTGGCGCGGCGTCGACGGGCGCAGCAGCGGCCGCCTCCTCTGTGGCGTCGGGATGAGGTGCCTCGCTGGACGCAGGTGCAACCCCATCCTTGTTGGAGGCGGGGGCGGCCTCTTCGCCAGGCGCGGGGGCCGTCCGTGGAGTGACCTCCTCGGTGGGGGCGGGGGCGGCCCCCTCGGCGGGGGCGCCGGTGGGCTCCTCCATGGTGGCGGCCAGGGCAACCCCCTCGGCGAGCTGCGATGCGATCGCGCCGGTCCTGGACTTGGAGAGGCTCGCGTTCAGGTTCAGGAGCTCGGCCATCTCCGTCTCATCTATACCCGGAGTCGGCCATGCGCTGGAGCCTTCCTGGGCGGCCTCTTCTGTGGGGGCTGGGGCGTCCGTTTCGCACAGCACAGAGGCGGCCTCCGCGGCGGCAGTGGCGGGAGCAGCCTCCTCGGTGGGGACCGGGGCTGCCTCCTCGCACGGCGCAGGGACGGCCTCCACGGCGGCAGTCGTGGGAGCAGCCTCCTCGGTGGGGGCCGGGGCGGCCTCCTCGCACGGCGCAGGGACGGCCTCCACGGCGGCAGTCGTGGGAGCAGCCTCCTCGGTGGGGGCCGGGGCGGCCTCCTCGCACGGCGCAGGGACGGCCTCCACGGCGGCAGTCGTGGGAGCAGCCTCCTCGGTGGGGGCCGGGGCGGCCTCCTCGCACGGCGCAGGGACGGCCTCCACGGCGGCAGTCGTGGGAGCAGCCTCCTCGGTGGGGGCCGGGGCTGCCTCCTCGCACGGCGCAGGGACGGCCTCCACGGCGGCAGTCGTGGGAGCAGCCTCCCCGGTGGGGGCCGGGGCGGCCTCCTCGCACGGCGCAGGGACGGCCTCCGCGGCGGCAGTCGTGGGAGCAGCCTCCTCGGTGGGGGCCGGGGCGGCCTCCTCGCACGGCGCAGGGACGGCCTCCACGGCGGCAGTCGTGGGAGCAGCCTCCTCGGTGGGGGCCGGGGCGGCCTCCTCGCACGGCGCAGGGACGGCGGGGCAGTCCACGGCGGGGACACAGCAGCCTCCTCGGTGGGGGCCGGGGCTCCTCGCCTGCCTCCTCGCACGGCGCAGGGACGGCCTCCACGGCGGCAGTCGTGGGAGCAGCCTCCTCGGTGGGGGCCGGGGCGGCCTCCTCGCACGGCGCAGGGACGGCCTCCGCGGCGGCAGTCGTGGGAGCAGCCTCCTCGGTGGGGGCGGGCACGGCCTCTTCGCAAGGCGCAGGTGTGGCCTCAATTACGCCGGTTGCGGGAGCAGCCTCCTCGGTCAGGGCGGTGGCGGGCTCCTCGGCGGGTGTCGGGTGCGACCATGGCCGAAAGTTGCGAAATAAGATAGACACATGCGCACGAATCTCAGCGCGACAAGGCATTACTATTACGTAGTGTTGGAAAACGCCTGTGGTTAGAAGCGGGGCAACACGAAACAACGACACCCCACCACATATGATGGACTACATATGATGTCTAGGGCGCGTTGAACGTGGCTCTGGCTAGTGCCTTCTGATCAAGTGTAACCTCCAGCTCCCGATAATAACTCCCTGGGGGATGATAAAATTCGGGGTCCAGGAGGGATCATAAAAATGTTCCTGGAGATCTCAGCTTAATGATGAAGATGATGACGATGAAGATGATCAAAATGATCCTGAACGTTCATAAGAATAAATAAAACGATCCATCGGAATCCCTAGAATATCCATCGGACTCCTTAGGACATCCATGGAATTCCTTCGGCAATCCACAGGGTTCATCTGGAAACCCAGAAGAATCCCATGGCAATCCTCAGGAGTCCTTGAGCTGTCCATAGGAGCTCAAACTTGAACGATCGGCCATTCCAAAAAGGCCGGATCGTTCAAGGATGGGCCGATTCTGGGCAACAGACAGCGTTCAACCCCAAACGCACGCGCTGGGGCCGCCGCCAGTCGGCACGACGCGAACATGCCGTAGATTGTTTCACCATCTTGCCAATGCCCCCCCCTGACGCGCGCGGCTTTATTTCTTTCTATCTCTCTCTCTCTCTCTCTCGTTCTATCCTGTGTGCTTGTTGTTTTGTTGTTCTCTTTTTTTTTTTTGTTTTCTCTCTCTCTCTCTCTCTCCTTCTCTCTCGCTCCTCAGCGCCTTGGCTTAAAACAGGACTAGGATCGGGATAAATCGCTCCGGAGCGTTCCGGAGCGCTCTCAGAGCGTTCCGGAACGCTCTGGAGCGGCCGCGGCGCCCACTACATCCGCCAAACCCGCGGATTCTCAGAGACTTCGAGCTAGCCCGATCCGATTTTGTCCCGATCTTCGCGTCGTTTTTTGGCTGCGCACGGGGCGCCAAAGACATTTCGGCGGCGCTCCTCCGCGGCGGCGAGGCGGCTGGCCGGCGCCCGGGCGTCGGCGAAGTGCTCGGTCTGCTGCTCGAGCATGGAGGAGTCGATGTGCCTCATGCTGACCTCGCTCCTCTTTGAAGGGGCCCCAGGACACACAAATAAAGACACACAAATAAACATGTTTCCCATATTTTTTCCCATAGTTTCGGGTTTTTTGTCTTCTCCCCCACTTCCTACATTTTCCCATTTTTTCTGTGGAATCGAGGATCAATTGTGTCTGTGTGTTTCTTCTCCTCCTGACTCTCGGCAGGAGGGTCGCGGGCATTGGGGGCGCCCAATCGGGGATGGACAGAACTCCCTTTAGCAAAACGTGGTTTAGTGAAAACGACCTGAGGCCCAAACCTGGCGGGCGCAAGCCTGGAACATAACGGACGCGGCGCCCTCGCGAGAACCGAAAACGGACAATTCACTAATCGACGCGTCACTGTTGGGGGTTCTGTCCACCCCCGATCCAAGAGCGGGGCGTCCAAGACGGGGGTTCGCAAATCGTGGCCCGAGGCGCGTGGGCCGGGCGACGCACTGGAGCAATAATCAACGCCATGGCATCTGAGAAGATAGCATGGCTCCGGCCATGCAATGTCCCCCTCCCCCCTCCCAGTACAGTCAACCCGTATCATAAGGATGCGCGGTAAGGATGCAAGGGCCTTGGACGCCCATGCTGACGTTTCTCGACCGAGATTGGCCAGCGAAAATCACGAAGGATGGGCCGAAGGGGCAAGGATTAGGGGAACGAAGAATGGCATAAACATAAAAACTCGGAGATCCGCGCGGATTTCTCGGATCCGCGCTGGACCCCCCTCCATGGCACGCGGAGCACGCCAGGGGCTGCGCCGGAGGACCCGCCAGAGGGTCCAGCGAGGATCCGAGAAATCCGCGCGGACCTCCGAATTTCTATGTTTATGTCATTCTTCGTTCCCCTATGGATGCAAGGGCTGCCTTGGGGAGGCTGCCCCTCCTCACTGTGCGGGTTGACTGTAGTCCCCACCCCCTTGGAACGCGAACGCCGTGGAACATACGAAGAAGCGCCATGACATCGGAGGAGATATCAAGGCCCCGGCCTTGAAATGCCCCCCCCCCGCACACCCTGATAATTTGATACTGGAATTTTCCAGTCGCGACCGACGAGATCGGTCGCTGTCGATTTTGCTTCTGGTTTCGGTATCGGTCGCGACAAAACCGGTCGCGACCGATCGGTCGCGACCGACTTGGAGCGCCGATCGGTCGCTACTGATCGCGACCGAAAACATCGGTATCCAATGATCTGGCCCCCCCAATACAATCATCACCTCCCCCCTGGCTGCATCTGAGGGTCTACTTCAAATCCCTTATTAATCGACCCCCCCCCTAAAAAACGGACCCCCCTCCAAATGCGACCTAATATTCCGGACCCCCCTCTTCGAAGGGGCGCCTTGCTAAACCGGTCCCCTAAGCTCCAATCCAAAGAAGGCGCCCAAATAAACCAGACCCCCCAATTACGAAAAAGGGGCTTCGGGGTGAAAGGGGCCCCCCTGCAAAATGACAACATCGTAAACCACTCAAACCTCTTCCATCCTCCTCCTCCTCCTCCTCCTCATCCTCCTCCTCAAACAAAAAAAAACGCCTTAAAAAACCTGGACCCGGGGGACGATTAATGAAGGCTTCGGAATACGGAAAAGAACGGGTCCCTCCTCCACATCCTCTTCCTCCTCCTCCTCCTCCTCCTCCTCCTCCTCCTCCTCCTCCTCCTCCTCAACCCAAAAAGATCGCCGTAAAAAAACCCAAACCCGGGGGACGATTCATGAAGGCTTCGGAATGCGGAAGGGAGAAAGAACGGGTCCTCCCGCGAGGTGTCCTCTGTGAGGCCCCCCAAGGGGGGGGGGCAGGGGAGGGCCAAGACCTGCTTTTAGGTCAGGCGTGTCCCTTCACAAGCGGATTTGGGACGAGAAAGCAAACATAGCAAAACAACAATACGGGTTAGTCTAAAATGCTAACAAACGTCCCCAGATGATTTTTTGTCTATTTTTGAATACTCCTCCTGTAGAGGGACAGGGACACGCCCGACTTGAGATGATGGTTGCACGTACGCGCTGTGTTTGTTTATTCTTTGTTTGTTGTTTGTGTATTTTCGGCGTTTCGACAGTGGGCGGAAGGGGGGGGAGGGGGGGATCTGGCGCTGGGGACCTCTGCTCAGTGCGACTGTTGGCGAGAATGCGGCCTCTGAGGGGAGACTCCGCCTGCTCAAAGCAGGCGCCAGACAAAGCCAAGATCCACTCCAGGGGGGGGGTGAGGGGGGGTGCGAGGGCCCGCGCCGACCGATCGGCAAAACACTGAATAAAAAAACGAGCACATCTACTTTTGAGAAATGTTGTTTACAAAATAATTCCCCCATCAGAGCTTGCCTCTGTAGGGGTCCTAGCGGATTCATATGGTTTAGGTTAGGTTTGCCGCCGATTTTCGCTGCACGCCCGGGTGCCCGGGGGTGCCCGGGGGTGCCCTATAGCCCTATAGCCCTATGCCCTATAGCCCTATAGCCCCATAGCCCAATAACCCTGTAGCCCTACAGCTCTATAGCCCTGCAGCTCTATATAGCCCTGTAGCTCTATAGCCCTGTCGCCCCCTCGAGTCGCCCTATAGCCCTGATTGGGTTTTTCTCCGGTATCATTGAAAACAGTGTAGGTACGTACATTTTCGTGGGATTGAAGATTTTGATTTGTGATGGGAGGCCAAAGACGCGGCGCAGAGGACCGGGCCCGTGTCCTTCGAGGACCCGCTCATGCCCGCCGTCGCTCGGAGTCCGCGGGGGCCCGCTTCTCCCTCGCAGGCCCCCTCGCTTCCCTGGAGGGCCCCGCCGCGACGTCCACTTCCTGTGTGCCCTGTTTGGCCTCGCGAACCCAGACCTCCTCGCGTCGTGAAAAAGTCACGACGGGAGGTTTTTCGCTATTTTCGGCCTCCGGGGGCCCTCGCCGGGCCTCGGGACCGTCAAAAAACGACTCAGGACGAAAAACCGGTCCTGGCGAATGGGTCCAGACCTCTGGGGGTCGCGTCATGAAAAAATCATGACGTCGGGGGTCTGGGTTCCTGTGTGCCCTGTTTGGCCTCGCGAAGGCGGCATTTTTTGGGAGTCCCGAAACGGTGCGGTGACTGACCGTGCGGTGACCTCGAAATCCCCCAAGCCCTCGCCGCATGGTCCGTCACCGCGCGGTCTTGGGACCCCGGAGGCCCCTGTCGCCCGAGACATCCTCGGAGAGGGACTCGAGTCCCAATACCGTGCGGTGACCCCGAATCCCCACCGACTCACCGCGCGGTGCGGCCACCGCCCTATTCCAGATTGTCCGAGCAGCTCCGGGATGGTCCAGCTCTCCATGGCGCTGGCCGAACAAACATGCACACGCCCGAGCGATGTCGAGTCGAAGTGGCAACATCTGCGTCCCACCTCGGCGGACTTGATGGGCGGCGGGGGCCGGGTCCGGATCCCGCCCCGTGTTCGACAACCTGCGAGCCCTACGGAAGACAAACAAAGCACAAGCATGAACTCGCCATCGCTCGGACGTCCATTCCGTGTTTTTTTCGGTTTCGTGCGTGGTTTTTTTTTCGCAAAATGATCAAGGATGCTCCTCGATGGCTCTCGCCGAAGGAAAAATGCACACGTCCGAGCGATGCCAAGTGAACACTTTCGACGGTCAGCGCGGCTTGCCTCGGATCCGCGCTGGACCCCCCCCCCCCTGGCGCGCGGAGCGCGCCAGAGGCGTCGCCCGAGGCGCCGCCACAGGGAGGCCCAGCGCCGCGCCAAGGAGTCCGCGCGGAGCCTCCGAGTGTTTCTGCTCACGTCGTCTGCTCCTCTTCGGACCCCCGCCGCCCGTCACGTTGCCTGGATCGTGGACTGGGCGGCGATGCATGGGGGGGGGGCGATCAGCGGGGCGACAGCGAGGGCTGCAGGAAAGGGACCCTCCAGGCCCCCTCAAGGGGCCCTTTCGGGCCCAGTGGGAGGCCTGCAGGGCCCACCCCAAAACACTGCTCTCCTCCCCCTCGCCCCCCCCAGCAATTCGCACCCAAGTGGATCTTTCGGGCGCAGACGGGGGCCTTTAGGGCCCCCAAAAAGGCACCTTTCTTCCCCCCCTCGCCCTCCAGCAATTCGCACCCGAGTGCGCCGGCGACGGCAGGGTCTGGACCCCGCCGCCGAGAATAGAAAAACACAAACCCATGCACATAAGCTTTCGGCGCTCCGTGCGGATTTCTTGGATCTGTGCTGGGCCCCTCCCTTCCTGGCGCGCGGAGAGCGCCAAGGGCGGCGCCGGAAGCGCCGCCAGGGGGGGCCCGGCGCGGATCCAAGACATCCGCGCGGAGCGCCAGACGTTTAGGTTTATGGCGTTGCTTCCTCTTTGAACCTCGTTGAACCGATCCCCTTCCCCACCAGCGTGGGCTGGGCCCCGCTGGCCGATTTACCCCCCTGGGTGGGGATATGGGCCGCTCCCTTCGGGTTTCGAGGGGCATAATTATCCCCCAACTGAGGTGGTGGGGCGCTGGGGCTCGAGCTGTGGATGGGGACGGGGACGGGGATCGGTGGAACGGTACTGTTGAGCAGGGACCGACCGTCCCGGCATTCGTATAGTCCTACCACGAAATGTCCTTAGAACCCAAAAATGTTCCAAGAACACAAGCAATGTTCTCAGAACAGAAGCCCGATGTGGTAAGACAAGACAGCCTCCGCCAGACATGCTCGAAGAACACTTCGCGGAAATCATAAAAAGAGTCCTTGGAACATGGCTCGGCAGGGCTATAGGCGAGCCAGGACGCTTCGCCGCTGCTTGATCGGCGGTGGACAAGCCTCCCTTTAGTAAACCTCCCTTTTGTGAAAACAGCCTGGGACCGAAACCGACGGACCCGGACCCGCAAAAATGACGGCCGCGACGCCCCCTCGCGAACCGAAAGCGGCCAATCCCTCAATCGATGTGTCAGGGTAGGAGGTCTGTCCACCCCAGGCTTGATACTGACCCTTCGAGAGCACCTTGCCTCCGCGGGCGCTCCTCGCGGTGGACAAGCCTCCGCCAGACGTGTTCGAAGAACATTTCGTGGAAGTCATAGAAAAGGTTCTTAGAACACTGTTCGGCAGGGCTGTAGGCGAGCCAGGACGCTCCGCCGCCGCTTGATACTGACCCTTCGAGCGCACCTTGCACCCTTCGGGCGCTCCTCGCGGTGCTGCCGCCGGGCTCCGGCTCCCGCGCGGCCTCCGCGGCGGCGGCCTCGGCCGCGGGAGGAGGAGGAGGAGGAGGAAGGAGGAAGGAGGAAGGAGGGAGGAGGAGGAGGAGGGAGGAAGAGGAGGAGGGAGGAAGGAGGAGGAGGAGGAAGGAGGAATGGAGGGAGGGAGGGGGGAGGAGGGAGGGGAGGGAGGGAGGGAGGGAGGGAGGAGGAGGAGGAGGAGGAGGAGGCGGAGGAGGAGGAGGAGGATGGGAGGAGGAGGAGGAGGAGGAGGAGGAGGGAGGAGGAGGAAGGAGGCGCCTGCTCCGCCGGCAGGGGCAGCGGCTCCAGGCGCACGCGCGAGCCGCTGCTGCCGGAGCCCGGCCGCCGCAGGGCCGAGCGGGGCCGCTGCGGCTCCGCGGCGGGCACGTCGGGGAGCGTCGGGCAGGGCTCGGAGGGCACCTTCCCAGACCTCCTCGCGTCGTGAAAAAGTCACGACGGGGGGTTTTTCGCTATTCTCGGCCTCCGGGGGCCCTCGCCGGGCCTCGGGACCGCCAAAAAACGACTCAGGACGAAAAACCGGTCCTGGCGAATGGGTCCAGACCTCTGGGGGTCGCGTCATGAAAAAATCATGACGTCGGGGGTCTGGGTTCCATCACCAGCCTCGAACTCCTCCCTGTCCCTGAGATCGGCACGTCAAGAGGCGATGGCAATCTGAGGGGTGCACCCTCAGGGACTGGGGGGAACCCCGAAGATCGCCATCGTGACGAGGCGATGCCCAACATAGGGGTAGGGATAGGTGTCAGGCTGGTAATTCCAAGGCCGCGCCAGCGGCGTGCGTGGTAAATAACGGTGCGGCGGGGAGTCCTTGTTTTTTGTCGGGACACCAGGTTCACGCAGAACAAGATGTGGGACAAGTCACGAAAAAACACCGCTTCCTGTCTGTCCAACGTGCGAACGTACCAAGCGAAAACGGAACAGCGAGTTTAAGGAAAGCACGAACCACGCGTTCCTACAATTGGTTTGGCCACGGACCACGCCTTGCTACAATTGTTTTTCCTAAGTCAGCGTTAGCTGACACACCGTTAGCGCGTCTACGGACCATGGATGGGGGGGCGAGGTCTGCGCATCAGAAGGACGGGGCCGAACGGTTCTTCCTTGCCCCTGGGTGCCCTGGCCGAAGTGGGACTCTTCGTGGGCCCGATGGCAGTTGTGTGTTGTTTCTTGCTTGGCTGCTGTTGAATTCGCATGTGGTCTAGATCACAAGTGCTGTCGATGCCCCCCATGATGCCCGTAGTGTCTGTCAATTAAAAAGTGTTCCTCCCAGGGGTCGCACATGGTTTTCCACAAGGGTGGATCTTGCGCCTCAGGTTGGTTTGTTGGCCCCTGGTTGATCTCAGCCACCTGATACTTCCTCACAACTCATTCCAAGATCGCGCTCTTGCGTGGTACGCCCTTGCCATGTATTCGGACGCCGCGCCCTCGACACTCAGAAATCACGCTCTCGCTTTGACCTTTCTGGTGGTTTGATTGGGAATCGCGCTGTCGCACAACAACCCCTAACGGTTCACAATCCAACAACCCGCCCGCTCGACCCAGCCGCCTGGGCCCGATTTCCCGACCCGCCCGTTAGGGTCTACCCGCCCGATCTGTCCGTCTGATTCTGCGTCTGGTTTTCTGTTCCCAGCCCCCACCCTGCTGATCTCAGTCGGGCTCTCCCCCCGGCGCCGTCCTTCCATCCGTCCTCCCTTCCTCTGTTTTATGGGGCTGCGCCAGCGCCAAATACACGTGGCAGGGAAGGAACGTATACCCCCAAGGGGGGCACGATCAAAGACGAAGACAACGGGTATCGAGGGTTTGGGATCTACGTGTTCAATGGCACGCGAGCACATAAGAACGAACACTATTAAACTTGCTGTTGCTGAAATTTGATGTTTAACACAGAACCATTGTTTATCCACCCTGCCCAAGGCACCCGGTGCTTTTAAATTAAGCCTTCGTTCCCCTTCTCGGTCGGCGGCGCCGGCCGTAAGGTCTTCGCAATAATCATTGTTTATCCACTCTGCCCAAGGCATCCAGCGTTTTTCAACTTAAGATGCTCCTCCTGGGGCTCGTACCTTTTGTTTCACCATGGAAAACCTTGGTGCTCAAACGGGGCGCCTGGCCCCCGAGTTAGAGCAACAACAACAACAACAACAACAACAACAACAACAACAACAACAACAACAACTGCTCCCTTCGGATACATCGTCACAGTTGATGCCAAATTCACGCCCCCGCGCGGGACACCCTCATAATTTCTGCAGGAACAGCGCTCACGCGTGATACATCCTCAAACTGTATTGCGGCGCCGTGCTCCCAACCCACTGCGTTTCCTCATGACTTACTTCGGAATCATGCTATCGACCACGCCCTCCTTGCGAATCATGTTGGGTTGACGCTTCAACGACCCGCCTGCTCGACCCAGCCGTCTGGGCCCGTCCGCCCACCCTGCCTGTCAGGGTCCGCCCCCCCACCCTGCCCGTCTGGTAATGCCGCTTGCGCTCCTGCTCCTTTATCTCCTCCTGCAAATCTCTCTCGTGCTCCATCCTTCCCCCTTCGCCTTGTCTCATCCCTATCCCTCCTCCCACTCTCCCCTGTCGTAGCGGCTGCGCCCACTACACGCGGCAGGTAGGGAAGATCTACCCTCCAGGTGGGTACGATGGAAGACGAAGAGGGTGGATATCGAGGGTTTGGAATCCAGATGCTGACTGTCTGGCGAGCAGATAAGAAGGAAGAGTCTTCACATGGCTGCTGGGATTGTTAAATGTTCGCGTATGAAGAGAACTATTGTTGATCCCCCCAAGTGAATTTGCTCCTCCCAGGGCTCGCAACTTGTCCCTCGTAGGGAAACTATTGGTCCTCAAACTGCGTTGTTGGCCCCCAATGTACAACAACAACGGCTCTCGCCTGATACTTCCTCACACATATTTCAATGTCGCGCTCCCGCGTGGGACTTCCTCATCATGTATCCAGGAATCGCGCTCTCACGTGGTGAGTCCTCACAATATATTGCGGCGCCGTGCCCCGTTCTCTCAGGAAGCACGCTATCGCGTTGGCTGTCCCATCGGTTTACTCAGGACTCGCTTGAAATGTCCTTCCGATTCATGCTGGATTGACGCTTCAACGACCCGCCCGCTCGACCTGGCCGTCTGGGCCCGCCCGCCCGACCTGCCCGTTAGGGTCCACCCCCCCGACCTTCCCGTCTGGTTCTGACGCTTTATGCTCCTACTCCTAACACTCCTCCTGCCAATCTCTCTCGTGCTCCATCCTTCCCCCACACCCTTGTCTCTTCCCTTCCTCGTTTCCTCCTTTGTTTTAGCGGCTGCGCCAACTACACTCGCGGCAGGTACAGGTAGGGGAGATATACTACCAAGGGGGGCACGATCGAAGAATAAACGACGAAGCGGGCGGGTATCAAGGGTTTGGGAAACACGTGTTGAACGGCACGCGAGCAGATAAGAGTGAGCAGCCTTTCAATGATACAAGCTTCGCTTATGAAGAATACCTGCTGTTGATCCCCCCTCAAGGGCACCTTGTGTTTTTCAGTTCAAAGTGCTCCTCCCGAAGCTCGCACCCTGCGGTTCACAATGGCTAATCTTGCGGCTCAGATTGCGCGGTTGGCCCCCGAGCTACACACGCGACGGCTCCCGCCCGAGACGCAATCTCGACATACTTCAGGAGCCGCGCTGTCGCGCGGGACGTCCCCAGATTGTCATCAGGAATCGCGCCCTCGCGTGGCACTTCCGTACCATGGATTGCGGCGCCGTGCTCCCTGGACTCACGCCCTCGCTGTGGATGTCCTGTCGATCTACTTGGGAAACTGTCGCTCGAAACCTCCTTGCGATTCGTGTTAGATTGACGCTTCAGCGACCCGCCCTCTCGAGCCGACCGTCTGGGCCCGCCCGCTCGACCTGCCCCGTTCGGGCCCGCCCGCCAGACCCGCCCGTCTGGTTCTGCCGCTTCATGCTCCTGCAACGATACCCTCCTCCTGCACATCTCTCTCGGGCTCCATCCTGATCCCTCCCCCCTGTCTCTGTCCTCCTCCCCTCCTTCCCTGCTTAGGTGGCAAGACATACCCCCGAGGAGTGTGCGACGAAATAATCGAGGACGAAAAAAAGCGGGCATCGCGGGTTTGGGGCATATGTGTTGAGTGGCACGCGAGCAGCTAAGAGTGAACAGTCTTCCAATGATTGTTGCTGTTGCTGTTGGTTGGTTGGTTGTTTGGTTGATTGGTTGCTGTTGCTGTTGTTGCTGTAAGTGCGGTTGTCTTTCATCGTGTTGTGTCTCGTTTGCATGTTCGTTGTTGTCGTCGTCTCGCCCGCGACCCGCCCGCGTTCCACACTGAAACGACGCGGAGATCGGGACAAAATCGGATCGGGATAACTCGAAATCTCTGAGGATCGGCGGGTTTGGAGGACGTATTGGGCGCCGCGGCCGCTCCAGAGCGTTCCGGAACGCTCTGAGAGCGCTCCGGAACGCTCTGGAGCGATTTATCGCGATCCTAGCCCTGTTTTACACCTTCTGACCCCGTGACCTACCCGCAACCCACCGGCGACCCACCTCGCGCCCGCCCCCTCCCACACCTCCGCAACTGCGGGGCGACGCAGGCGATTCTTATCCACCCCCCCTGGCGGGGCCCATCCTGGGGCCGGGGAGCGGTGTCTATACGCCCGCCGACGCCGCTGCTGGGGTGCGCTCTGGCCAGGCTTTCGAGGCGAGTCCAGACCTGGCGACGAGGACTTTCAGGAGGCCACCCGAGGGTGTAAGCGAGGCAAGGGTAGCGGCATCGGCCTGGAAGAGCAAAAAAAACAGCACCAGCAGTAACGCGCGAGGGTCCGCGCAGACTCCTTGGATCTGCGCCGGACCCCCCTCCCCAGGAGAGCCCAGAATCGAATCGATGAGTCGGATCTGCAATCGCAATGAATCGAATCGGCGAAAATCGGCCGTCAAGTCGGGAGAAGTCGAATCGGCGGAAATCGGCAGGCCAGCCTGCCTCCAGCAGGGAATCGGCGCCCAAATCGGAATTCGAAGCCGAATCGAATCGGAAGCGGAAGCCGTCGAAATCGAATCGAATCGAACCAGAGGAATCGAGACAAGCCCTGCCTCCCTGGCGCGCGAGGCGCGCCAGGGAGGGGCGCCGGAGGTGCCGCCAGGGGAGGGGTGGGTGCCCGGCGCAGATCCGAGACGTCCGCGCCGGACTCCGAAAGCTGATGTCTGTAGCGCTATTGTAGCGCTATTCTCTTCTTCGACGGACCCCCGTCCTCCGCAGAGGATCTGCGCCTTCGGGTGTCGCTAGAAGTCCCCCTGGCCCAATGCGCCCCCAGCTCGTCGCTCCATCCTGGGATCCCTGGGGCCCATCTGGGCCCTGCGAGGGGTGCCCTGGAGGCCGCCTCGGCCACCCCGAACGTCCTGGGGGTACCTACCTTGGGCCAGGGGCACTTCTGGCAACATCCGATGCACGTCTGAGCAGGGACCGACCGTCCCGGCATTACTATAGTATTACCACGAAATGTTCTTAGAACCCAAAAATGTTTGAAGAACAAAAACAATGTTCTTAGAACATAAACCTGGTGCGCTAAAACAAGACATTCCAGGCCAGAAATGTTCTAAGAACATTTCGTGGAATCCACAATAGGTTCTTAGAACATTGTTTGGTAGGGTGATGGGCGAGCCGGGACGCTTCGCCACTGCTTGACACATCTCGCCGCCCGCCACCTCCGGCCTGGGGTTCAGCGGCCGCAGGGGCGCCAGGGGCGCGAGGGCGGGCGAAGAGCTGCTGCGGAGGATCTGCCCCGACATGTACTCGCGCGGGTTGGCGGGCCGCTGCTTCACCACCTCGCGCAGGCTATTGGCCAGGATCTCCTCCAGGTTGTGCTCCACGATGTACCTGAGACGAGGACAATGAGTACAATGGGAGCTCGACCACCAGAAACCTTCCATAAGAGACCCAACCATGAGACCCCAGGACGTCCACTAGTTTTTTGGTGCGGGAACGTCGCGCTTTCATAGCAAAACCATCGAGTGCACCCTGGAGGCAGGCAAGGTGTTTCTTGGCATGGGTGTCCTGTTGGTTGCGCATTGTCGGGCCTCCCAGGAGGCCTTCGGCGCCTCGGCTGGATTCGCCGCGACAGTATTGTCACGACGCACCTGGGGAGAGGTCAAGAGACTAGGCGGCATCGGCTGTGCTCACCGATATTAAACAAACATGAAGGTTCAAACATAACGTTCGGGTCCGCGCAGACTTCTTGGATCTGCGCTGGGCCCCCCTGGCTACGCCTCCAGCGCCACCCCTGGAGCCCTCTGCGCGCTAGTGCAGGGTGGGGTCTAGCACCGAACAAAAGAAAAAAATCAGCGCGGATCCCCTAACAAATTGATGTTCATGCCGGTTGTGGTCACCCACCGGACCACCGCGACACACACACACACACACACACACCGACGTCGTCGTCGAACCTAAAATGTGCAACGGGGGGACACTCCGGAACATAGAGACGCGACACATGGATACGGCACACCCCCCAACCCAAACCTTTCTGGGACCTTCGGATTCGGTGGTTGTGATGGTTCGGCACTCGGGGGCGGCCAAGAGGGGGGCGTCCAAGAGGGGGGGGTGCAAATCATGGCCGGCGGCATGTGCGCGGCCCAGGGCGGGGGCCAGGGACGTAAGGAAATCAGAAGAGGCGCCATGACATCTGGAGAACTATCATGGCATCATGGCCCACGCTACCCAGACCCCCGACGTCATGATTTTTTCATGACGCGACCCCCAGAGGTCTGGACCCATTCGCCAGGACCGGTTTTTCGTCCTGAGTCGTTTTTTGACGGTCCCGAGGCCCGGCGAGGGCCCCCGGAGGCCGAAAATAGCGAAAAACCTCCCGTTGTGAAATTTTATTCACGACGCGAGGAGGTCTGGGTAAGAACCCCCCCCCCCAGTCATCACCCCCCCTCCTTGCTGCCCCCGAGGCACGTGCAACCATCGCGCTGCCCCACGGACCGCCCGCTCAAGGAACGAGGGGGGCTGTCTTTCTTTTCTGACCACGGCGAGCCACGCCCACGAGTAGGCTCCACGACCTACACTTCGGTCGGGCGTGTCCCCCTACAGGGGGATTTGGGGTGAAAAAATTCAAGTTTTCCAACAATGAATTAAACATGCTTTCAAATAGTGGAAAATCGTCCCCAGACTAGTGCTTTACTATTTGTGAAGATTCCTCCTGAAGAGGGACACGCCCGACTGAAGCCTACACCTGAGGGGCTGCACGAAAGACCGACCCCCTCCTGAGCCCAAAGTGGTCCTCACAGGCAAACGTATGATCAAGAACATCACAATTGAAGACACCTGGGTCCTGGCCAGCTTTTCTCCAACAGCTGCTTCGAACACGCCTGGGCCCCTTTGCTCGCGCTTGGAGGGACGAACGTGCTCCAGGAACTGGGCCAGCTCTGCAGCAAGCTGGTGAATAAGAGCTGGTCAAACCTTTCGGGAGGGGGGTTCTGCATCATATGCTCGACCGTATTCCAGCGTCTTGACTTCGGCTACACGCGCGCGCGACCCTGGGTAAGAGTGACCTTCGGTGGACCGCGGGAAGCCAAACCACCCGAGCGCGCAGGACGCTGCTACCACCCCGCGCGGAGTCGCTTGGGGGCCCCAGTGTGCCCGCACCAGGTGTCACTCCGGCGAGAGGCCACTCTCACGTCTAGTATAGATGACTGCAGCGAGATCCTCCTCCTCCTCCTTCGCCCTCCTCCTTCTCCTCCTCCTCCTCCTCCTCCTCCTCCTTCGCCCTCCTCCTTCTTCTCCTCCTCCTCCTCCTCCTCCTCCTCCTCCTCCTCCTTCTCTTCCTCGACATGTACCGGGCGGCAGAGTTCTTCCGCTCCAGCTTGCGCTCCGTCTTGGTGGCCTTGGCCCTCTCCTCGGACAGGCCGCCGACTGCCGCGAGCCGGAGGCCCATCCTGGGCATCTCCGCGTCCGCGCAGTCGAGTACGATCTCCGCGGCATCGCCGCCGAGGTCCAGCGAGACGTTGGCATACCCCACCCGCCTCAAACCGCCACCGTGCCCCTTGGCAGGTTGAGGCGTGGTCGGATTCCTCAACATCATCCTCCGATCGTCGTCATCATCATAATCAGCAGCACCACCATCAACGTCAACATCATCTGCCTCCTCGTCAATATCATCATCATCGTGATCATCCTCATCATCATCATCAACAATAGTATCAACAAAAATATCAGCATCATCAAATTCACCATCATGGTCATCATCCTCATCCACCTCCTCCTCCTACTCCTTATGATCGTCGTCGTAAACATCAGCATCGCCATCACTCGCACCCTCACCGCCACCATCAGCATCATCATCATCATCATCATCACCATCACCATCAGCAGCATTAGCATCATCAGCATCATCATCGTCATCAGCAGCATCGTCGTCATCATCATCATCAGCATCATCATCACCATCATCATCATCATCCTCATCCTCATCCTCATCCTTGTCCGCCTCATCCTCCTCATCAGTATCAGCATCATCAGCAGCAGCATCATTGGCATCAGCATCATGATCATAACCAGAAGCATGCTCATCAGTGTCATCATCATCATCATCATCATCATCATCAGCATCATCATCTTCATCATCATCATCATCATCATCATCATCATCATCATCATCATCATCATCATAGTTTTCATCACCATCACCATCATCACCCTCATACTCCCATCATCAGCATCAGCATCAGCATCAGCATCAGCATCAGCATCAACATCAGCATCACACCACCACCACCATCATCATCACCATGACCATGACCATGACCATGACCATCATTATCATCATCATCATCATCATCATCATCATCAGCATCATCATCATCATCATCATCATCATCGTTGATTCGAGCATCTGCCACCGAACATGCTGGCAGGACGGTGGCGGGACTCGCCGCAGGCAGCCGGCTATCTCCACCCTGCCCAGCAACTTGCCGTCCGGGTCCTTGGGCTCGGGAAAGTGGTACACCCTGGAGCTGCTCAGCCGGGTCTGCTTCTGCACGTCCCCCACGCGCACCGCAAGGAACACGTCCTGCGGCAGTCGGGGATGGCCAGAACCCCCTTTCATAGAACGTGGCTCAGCGAGAACGACCTCGGGCCTAAACCTGGCGGGCGCGAGCCTGGAAAACGACGGCCGCGGCGCCCTCTCGAGAACCGAGAACAGACAATCCACGACTCGACGTTGATGGGCCTGTTTTCCACGACCAGTTCCATCAGCTGGAGATGGAGGGGGTCCTCCTCCTCCTCCCTCCTCCTCCTCCTCCTCCCTCCTCCTCCTCCTCCTCCCCCTCCTCCTCCCTCCCCCCTCTCCAACCTGTGGCGGTGGTTGTGGAAAAGAGGCCCATATCAGACGCGTCAGGGTGGGGGTGCCCCGTCCCCCCCCCTCCCGAGGCGGGGCGGACGCAGCGCGCGCCCGCAGTAATACTACCTGCCCTCGGAGCGCCCACGGGCGGCGGCCTCCCCGCAGAGCCGCCGGGGCGGGCAGCCGGGGAGGCCTGCCGCCCAGGGGCGCCCCGCAGAGCCCGTCATGGCGGCCCTTCTGCGGGCCCCGCGCGGCGTCCTGCGGGATGGCCTGGCCGGCCGCCGCCTCGACACGGACCTCCATATCGGCCGCCGCGCGCCTCCGCCCGCCGCCCGGCAAACGCCCGGCGGCCTGCGGGGGAGGGGGCCCGAGAGGAGAGGGGCGCCTTCGGTGGGCGCTCGCGCGGGAGAGCTCGGGCCAAGAGCTGGCCGAGCGGGCCCCGGCCTCCCGAGCCGAGGCTGCCGACGCCCCCTGGTGCCGCTCGGCCTCCTCCCCCTGCTCTCCGGCATCGTCTTCCCTGTCCTCCTCCTGCTCCTCCTGCTCCTCCTGCTCCTCCTCCTCCTCCTCCCCCTCCTCCTCCTCTTCCTCCTCCTCCTCCTCCCTCCTCCTCCTCCTCCCCCTCCTCCTCCTCCTCCCCCCCTTTTCCTCCTGCTCCTCCTCCTCCTCCTCCTCCTCCTCCTCCTCCTCCTCCTCCTCAACCCCCCGCCAATCTGCCACCGTGCCCTGAGGCACGAGTTGGGGTGCCCTAATTAGCGTCCTTGGCCGAATCCCTAACGCCTGCCTCAATCCCGAGTCCTGAGGATTCTCTGAGGTGAGGGGGCCCGACCCCCACCCCAAATCCCCCCTCCCCTCCTCCCTCCTCCTCCTCCTCCTCCTCCTCCTCCTCCTCCTCCTCCTCCTCCTCCTCCTCCTCCGCTTCCTCCCCCCACTCCTAGCCCTTTCGATCAGGGTCGGCGGCACCGGCCGTCAGGCCTCTCCAATCTCCAAGGGCTTGATGAGCGCCCCCTGGGCTCACCCGCGTCTTCCCGCGGGGCTCTGACGGAGCCACGAGGGCCCCAAGACGGGCCAAGAGGGCCCCAAGAGACCCCCAACGACAGTCAGAGAAGGCCCCGAACCGCCGAACGACTGGTCCAGTCGGACGAAAACGCGCCCACGACGCCAAAGAGGCCTGCACCTTCAAGAGAGCCCCAATACGCAAACATCTACAACTTACACATACGACTGCTGACAGTTTGGTCATATTCTGATGTTTGGCTTTCATGGGTTTCAAGACGGCCAAAGAGGCCCCGAAGATCGCCCCAAGAAGCTTCCAAGAGGGCCCCAAGACGGCCCATGAGAGCCCTAGGACGGCCCACGAGGCGCCCAAAACGGCCAAAGAGAGCCCCAAGAAGGTCCTGCGAGGCCCAAGAGGGGGAACCTGAACCGACAATGCCAGCTCTCCGCCGCAAAATGCTCCCAGGAGGCCCCAAGATGCTCCAAAGACGTCGGCCACTGAAGAGGCCTCAAACTGTCTCCAAGAGGCCCCCAATGAGCCCCCCACGACATCCCAACACACATCCAAGAGGCCTATGACCTACAACCCAGACACCGTGGCGGGATACGCAAAAGGCTGTCAGATCCGCCGCCCCCTGTGGCTTGCCACAGGGGTGCACGGAGGGCTGGGCTGTTTGTGCTCGTTGGTTCTCTTAGAGCTCCCGGCAGGGTGAAGGCCCCGAGAGAGACGAATCATTCGGGCCGAATGTGGCCAGAAGATGTCGCCAAGACGGCACAACATGCGCTCGAGACGGCCCAAGATGGCCTCGAGATGGCCTCGAGATGGCACAATCAACTTTCAAGAGGCCTCCAAGACGGCCCGGGAGGCCTCCAAGAGGACCGAACTGGATGCACGGAGAGGTCCAAATCATTGAGCCTCCTGACGCGCGGAGGTGGCTGCCACAGCTGACCAGAAGTTGGAGGCAATGCGCAGCAGCGCCGGGAAGGGGAGGCGCCAGGGCGCCCGGGAGGTCAGGTGATTGAAGATTTTGGCCCTCCTCCTTCTCTTCCTCCACTTTCCCCTCCTCCTCCTCCTCCTCCTCCTCCTCCTCCTCCTCCTCCTCCTCCTCCTCCTCCTCCTCCTCCCCCTCCTCCTCCTCCTCCTCCCCCTCCTCCTGGAGACCGCCGAGGGAGAGGGAGGACGCGTTTTCGGTCGCAGACGTGGGCGCCGCTATCGAGGCGTCGCGCCCCCGCCGCCGGACCCTCCACCTGCCCCGCGCGGCCATCGAGGCGGCGGGTCGGGGAGGGCGGCTGCTCACGTGGGCCCCCGTCAACCTCGCCATGAGCGTCGGCCTGGCCATCACTCGGACGTCCATTCCCTGTGTTTTTGTTCGATGTCGTGCGTGGTTTTTCCCCCCCAATGATCAAGGATGCTCCTCGATGGTCCTCTCCGAGGGAAAAACGCACACGTCCGGGCGACGCCGCGCATCCTGACCGCAGGGTTGCGCAAACGGGACCCGGCGGTCGTGGCCTCGCTCTCGCTAACCAGGCCGGTTTCCTACGTGGACGACCCGGAAGGCATCCGCGACGCGGCGTGGCCGTCCTCGGTGCGCGCGCGCCCCTCGAGGCGTTCGCGGGCGACGCGCAGAGGGGGCGGGCGCTTCGACCCCGTGCTGATGCCGCTCGGCCTCCCCATGGTGCTGCAGCTCCGCGTCGTCGCGGGGCTCCGCGCCCTCCTCCTCGAGGCCGACGCCCTCCACGGGTACGACCTCGCGTGGCGCGACGCCGTGCGGGTGCAGCTGCGCGCCGCCGGCCTTCGTGGCAAGGCCTGGCTGGCCGCGGACGCTTCCATGAGGGAGGAGCAGGTCCGTGCGCGTCTCGGCCCCCTCGCCTCGCCGGCCACCGCCCTGCTGGACCACAGCGTGGGCCAGGGGAAGCGCGCGGGCACCCACATCTTCGGGGCCCTCGCGCGGGGTTTGCTGCACGCCTGCGCGGCGCCCGCCCGCCCCGTCGGCCTGGGCGCGGCCGGGGGCCCCCGCCGCGGCTGTCTCGCCTCTCCAGCTCCCGCTTGCAGACGACTCGCTCCTCGCGCAGGAGGACGAGCGGGGCATGGCTGCGGCGCGCGGCGGCGCGAGCTCTTCCTGCGAGCCGCACCGCCATGTGCTTCCGAAGGGCGGCGAGGCGAGAGGCCCCGCGGTCCATGGCAGTCGGCGGCGCGCCCCCCGGAGGCCGGCGCGTGCGGCGACATCCTGGCCGTCCCGGTCGGGGCCGCCTCGGTGCTTGACTGCCTGGGGGTCCCGAGCGTCGCGAGGCCCCATCCCTGGCCCTCCGGCCCCTCCTCGACCGGGCGTGCGCCATGCTCCGCGATGGCGCCAAGAAGCTTTCTACCGCCAGGTCCGACTCGGGTTTCGGCGCGCCCACGCAAGTGGCTCAGTTGCCCGTGCGGGTGGAGGCGGCCGCCCTGCTCGACACCGAGCTCCTCGCCAGCTGCGCGGCGGGGTGGTCGGGGGTGCTCCCCCGCCTCAGCCGCGCCTACTACGAGGTGGCGAAGCTACTCCTGGCGGGGCCGGCGGCGCGGTTATCCCTGGGCACGGGGGGCCAAGTGCGCGCCTTCCTCGAAACCAGGCTGCTCACGCGGGTGGGGTCTCGGCTGACCCGGCGGGTCGTGCTGGCCTGGGCGCGTTCGCTGCTGCGCCCCCCGACCTCGCCCGCGGCGCCGGCCGTCGGGGCGTCGTTGGCGGCGGCGGACGTGGGGGCGTCGTTGGTGGCGCCGGCCGTCGGGCCGTCGCAAACTGGCACCTCTCGCCACAGAGCATTCAAAGACATGCTCGAGGTGGCCAGAATCTGGCCCTTGTCGATAAGAGCTGCCCATTTTGGGCGGGGCCGGCACGCCCCTAATCGTTAAGAGCAGCCCACTTTTGGGCGGGGACAATACTTTCCCCTATCTCCTTCCTTCCTCTTGTTTCCCTCTCTCGTGTGGTCTCGTGTCGGGTGGGGGGCGGCGGTGCCGTCGGTGCGCCCATTCCTCAGGGCAGTTGAGCCTCGAGGAATCCAGCGGTTGAGCTCACATGGTGCTCCCGCTCCTCAGGGGCAGTTGAGCCTCGAGGAATCCAGCGGTTGAGCTCTCATTGTTTGTCCTGCCCCCCCGCATGTCTACGTCGAGAGACGCGCGTCGACGTGCTCAAACTCTAGCGCGCTCTCACAATCCTGCTTTCGTTTTCGGTCGCTCCCATCAGGAACACATCTTGCACTGCAACGCACTGCGCAGTGTGCAATCCAACCTATATCCATGCTAGTTTGACGTCGTGTACACATGTCAGATTTTCAGTACTCTTCCCCACAAGTGCACATCTTGACGCTTCTCTACCACCGCCTTTCTTGGAATGCTGTCGCTGTGAGGTATGCCCGGCCAGGTCTGTTTCATCTTCTGTTTGCTTCCACCACCCATGTGTCGTAAGGGGGGAAGATGTTTCAGGCCAGGCCGGTGGCGACGCCCGCAATTAAATTATCCTCTCCTCTCTCTCTCTTTCTATCCACACACCTCTCTGCGCGTGACCCTCAAGGCACAAGCGTCTGTGTGGAGTGTCCTGCAACGCTTTGCGATGCAATTCTTCACTACGCAACGCCACGACATGCCATAACATACTACGCTCTGCCGTGCTCTTCTACGCCCTGCGACGCCGTGCTCTGCGATGCATCGCGCACGCTGTCGGGATCGTTGCCCTGCTCGACACCCGACTGTGCGAATTGACAACAGATCTACACCTGGGTAAGGGATGGGAGGGCGGGGTAGGACGTCAGGTATAGAAGAAAAGAAAACGCCATAAACATACACTTTTTGGCGCTCCGCGCGGATTTCTCGGATCTGCGCTGGACCCCGCTCCCTGGCGCGCGGAGCGCGCCAGGGGCGTCGCCGGAGGCGCCGCAGGGGGGGCGGGCCATGCAGATCCAAGACGGCCGCGCGGAGCGCCAAGAGCTTATGTTCATGTTTATGGCGTTTTCCTTTTTTTCGGAGATAGGACGCGAGCGCACCTACCGTGCCGTCTCCTCCTCCCCCTCACGCACACACACATACACACCACCCACCACCACCACAACAACCACAACCACGCACACACGCACGCACGCACGCGCACCACCACCCACTACGCACACGCGCGCGGAGCCACAGGTCCGCTACGACACGCGTCCGCGGATAGAGAAAATCAACGCCATGGTAAGGGATGGGCGGGAGGGGTAGGATGTCAGATGTTGACGCGAGCGCACCTAACTTGCCCCTCCCCCCTCCCCTGCCCTCCTGTCCTCTCTGCGCCCCTCTTCCTCGCCCGACGCGGCCCCCCCCGCGCCCCGTCCATCGGGCCGTCGGCGACGGCGGGCGGCTCCTCGTCCTCGCCGCGCGCGCGCGCTTCGAGCTCGGGGTGCCGCGTGGGGAGGGAGTCTACGATTCGAAATTGGCTTGGGGGGGAAGGGGGGAAGGGGGGGGAAGAGGGGAGTGGGGAGGGGGGATTCTACGCCCAGGGGGGGGGGGGATTGGGGGGGGGGAAGGAAGGGGGTTCTACGCCCGGAGGAAGGGGTGGGGGGAGGGGAGGGGGGAAGGGGCGGGAGGGCGATGGGGAGGCAGCGAGGGGCCAATGGAGGGAGGGGGGAGGAGGGCGGGAGGAAGGGAAGGCGGGGGCTGCACGTGGCGGCGGCAAGGGGAGGGAGGGCAAGGCAGGAGGGGAGGGAGGAGGAGCTGGAGGAGGAGGAGGAGGAGGAGGAGGAGGAGGAGGAGGAGGAGGAGGAGGAGAAACATCACATAGGACGCATGTAGAAGAAGAAACCTGCGCGCGGGCGGCAACGCGTTGAGCAATCCGTGTGTGTCACATGAGTTCGCGCGTATGAAAAAGGGATGACGCCCAGTCTACATGCTTCTCCAACGGTTCAGGATCTCCCCTCTTGCCATGCCATGCCACACCCTAATCCCCTTCCCTTCCCCAGCTCAGCTCTTGACCTGCGCCCCGAATCACGCCTTTACTCGACCTTGCCTTCCCGGGAGCCTCCGAGCATGTCACCCGGCGGGCCGACGTTCGGACCCCTCGTCGACGACTCTTGCCCGGCAGGACAGCGCGCGGACAAAGGGCGCGCCGTTGCTGCAGAAGCACCCGGCAGGGCCACAATTCTGAGTACACCCTGCGAAATGCTTAAGAAATCATGTGTTAAGAAATTCAGAGTCTCAGAACTTGAGTTAAACACCCAACGTTTCTATCAAAATCTTAGGATTCACACTGAAACGTGAAGAAGAATCGAGACTCTGGCCGAAGGCTTAAGTTTTCGTAAGCATCGCCTAAGATGTATAGCACGGCACGCCGAGCAACGTCTGGCGGGCAAGGGCGCCTCGTCGGAGCCACTGTCCGAGCCGCTGTCCGAACCGCTGTCGGAGTCGTTCTTGTTGTTCGCGGCCGCCCCCTTGGAGCCTGCCCTGCAGGCATGACCCCCTCCATCATGCTCGCGACCCTTTCCATCCCCGTCACCAACAACATCGCCATTGCTGCAACTGGCCTTGGTTGTAAGCTCGCCACGGCCTCGACATACATATCTTTATACATATATAATAGAGATGTGCATACATATATATATATATATATATATATATACAGATACGGCCCCCTTGCGGGGCCATCAGGCTGCGAAGATTAGGCTTGCAGCTCCCTGTGCCAGTAGCAGCTTCCAGTTTCCACTGTTACAGCCCTGCCTTCTGCTTCCTTACTGTTACGTGTTGCTGAACGCGACTCGCGTTGTCTGAATTCTTGGGGGGGTCGTGGGAAACGTTAAAGGACATGATGGTCGCGTCCCCGAGGCCATAACCCCTAGTAAATTACACATGTTCGCGTCCCCAAGGCAATAAAACCTACTAAATTACACAATGCTCGCGTCCCCGAGTCCATAATCCCTGGTAGATTACGCAATGTTCGAGTCCATGAAGCCATAAGCCATAATACAGTACTCACTGTTCGCGCCCCCGTATCCATAAACCTTTCTGTAAATTACAACATATTCGCGCACTCGGATCCTTAATTAACTTTTGAAACTTGCAAAATACTCGCGTCCGCAGGACCATAAACATTTGTACATTACACCATGCTTGCGTCCCCGATGCCACGAACCCTTGCAAGTTACACCATATTCGCGTCCCCGAGGCCATAAACCATCATCCATTATTCAATAGTTGCGCCCCCGAGGCCATACATCATTGTAAATTAAACAATCCTTGCGCGCCCGAGGCCACAAACCTTCGCAGATTACACAGTATCTGCGTCCCCGAAGCCATAAACCATCATAACGTACCTCGTCTTCGCGCCGCCGAAGCCATCAACTATCGTCAATTGACATTGGCCCCCGCATGAAGTCCCGACATTGCTTCACGTCAGCGTCCAGACGTCCAAACGCAGCTCTGGCAAGTCCCATTCGAAGAGAGGGGGGGGGCCGTCGGCATGGGGGCGACGCCTTTACGGATATATCAATATATTCATATAAATAAATATCTATATACATATATACATCTATACATATATATAGATATCGTCATCGCCATCCCGCTTGCAAGGGCGAGCAAGACAACCCAAGGAAACATCCGACGCATCCGCATCACGTGTGCGGTTCCATCTTTTATGTCCGCCGATGTCCGCTGGCCTTCCGCAGGCCTCCGCCAGCGGAGCCGGCCTCGTTCTGCTCCCGCAGCCTTCCGCCGGCTCTCCGCCGCCTTGCGACGAGGAAGCGATGAAAACTCCTTCGATCCTCGAAGACGAGGCCCCTTTCCGGAACGCTCCACGTGGTCTCCACAAGTGGGCCCCTGGAGCGAGCTGAGATCGCCCCCTCCTCCTCCTCCTCCTCCTCCTCCTCCTCCTCCTCCTCCTCCTCCTCCTCCTCCTCCTCCCCCTCCTCCTCTGGGAGTGGGGGCTGCGGCGCGCTGCGCGCTCCGAGGCCGGCGCGGGGCAGCGGCGAGAAAGATGGGAAGCGGATCATGGGGGGGGAAGTCTGGCTGGAGAGGAGGGAGAGGCGGGGGAGGGAGGATGCGAGAGGAGGACTGAGTCAGGTTGGAGAGGATGCAGGAGGAGGACAAAGGAGGAGAACAAGAGGAGGAGGAGGAGGAGGAGGAGGAGGAGGAGGAGGAGGAGGAGGAGGAGGAGGAGGAGGCGGAGGAGGGGGAGGAGGAGGAGGGGGGGAAGCGGAGAATGAGGGAGGAGGGACGATCCTCGATGACGGGGGAGGGGTACGGACGGAGAAGGGAGCGAGCGACACTTTCTCGATGAAGGAGTGGAGGACGAGGAGGACGAGGAGGAAGAGGATGAAGAGGAGGAGGAAGAGAAGGAGGAGGAGGACGAGAAGGATGAGGAGGGGGAGGGCGGAGGGGCTAGGAGGGGCTGGGAGGAGAAGCAGAGGAGAGGATGATGATGATGATGATGATGATGCGTGGAGAGGAGGCGGAGCAGAATGAGGAGGCGGATGACGATCCCGAAGAGGAGCAGCGGGAGCGCAGCTGACCCCGCGGCCCCTCCGGTTGCACCCGCAGTGCCCCTCTGGCCGCGCTTGAGGATGCCGCCCTGGCGAAGCCCCCTATCTTTCCAGCGCGCTCGCTGCGGAGGGAGCGAACTTCCTAGCCCTCTGCTCCCTTCCGAAAGGGACGAGGAGGTTCCTCGTCCTCCCACTCCTCCATCACACCACCTTCCCCCCCGAGAATTGGGGATAAAGGCTCACCTCTTTGCCCTCTTCTCCTCCTGCTTTTGAGGAGGTCGAGGGGGTTCCTCTCCTCCTCCTCCTCTTGCTCCTCCTCCTCTTCTTCGTTGTCTTCCTCCTCCTCCTCCTCCTCCTCCTCCTCCTCCGCTTCCTACTCCCTCTCTCCCCCCAATTCCTACGGCACATCACTCCCACGTTCCGTGGCCCCACAAGGAGCTCCATCTAGGGCCCCAGTGGCAGGGTCCGCCGCATGCAGGCCCACCACCTACAGTCGGGGCGTTGACCTACGGAACCCTGAATAAGGAACGAGGCCCCTTTTTCCATAAGTTAACCTTCGATTTCCTGTCGTAAACATAAGGAAAGCCTGAGGCAAGCTGCGAAACACTTAAGGAACGCGGAGCCCCTCCCCAACGAAAAGGGTTCCTTCTTCAGGGCCCCGACTGTACTTCAGCGCACACCTCACACGTTCCGTGGCCCCATACCGAGCTCCACCGAAGGCTCCAGGTGACAGGGTCCGCATGCGGCGTTACCTCCCACCTCGGCAGACCCTTGGAACGCTTCGTGGCCCTATTCGACGACGAGCAAGAGTGACCCTGGGTAACTCGCCATCGCTCGGACGTCCATTCCCTGTGTTTTGTCGGTTTCGTGCGTGGTTTTTCGCCAAATGATCAAGGATGCTCCTCGATGGTCCTCGCCGAAGGAAAACTGCACACGTCCGAGCGATGCCAAGGTAAGAGAGACCTTTGGTGCGCGGCATTAGGGGGGCGCGGGGGGGCCAACCGCAAGCGCGCAAGCCGCTGATGTCGCAGCGCGTTCGGCGATCGGGGGACCCATTCGGGCCCGCACCAAAGGTCACTCCGGCGAAAGGTCACTCTTACGTCTAGTCGAGCTATGAGGAGCGACCACACACATAGACACGCACAAACAGACACACACACACAATACACAGTCACACAACACACAACACACAAAAACATACACAAACAAAAACATATACACTCACACACAGACACACAGAGACACGCACTAACAAACACACACACACACACACACTCGCACACAACACACACACACACACGAACACACACACACACAAACACACACACACACTCACACACAGACACACACACAAACACATACACACACCACACACACATGGAAGACGTGCGACCCGCTCCGGAGCGTGAGCAAACAATCTTGACGTTGTCGGGCGCCCGTGACCAGGGGGGGCGGCGGAAACGGACGGGCCCCCCCCTGCCCCCGTGGCCGTCCACTACCGCCCTCCCCGCTCGTGGCCTGCCATCGTCGCTGCTACATTCCCCCCTGCCCATGCCAGAACGTCTCGCCTGCCCGCCCTGATCTACAGTCGGCCCGTATCATAAGGATGCGCGATCAGGATGCAAGGGCCCTGGACGCTCATTTCGAAGCTTTTCGAGCGGGGCGCGGCCACCGAAAGCGGCCGAGGATGTGCCGAGGAGGCAAGGATGCAAGGGTACTCTTGGGGAAAAAGGCCCATCCGTACTATGCGGGTTGACTCCCCCCGCCCCCCCCCCCGGTGTTCCTCGCTCTTCGCAGCTTCTTCCAGCTGCGCCCGCGACTGTGCGCGGTTCTTGTTCTGGAACTTTAGCCTTCCCGCGCCCGTGCCGCCAGAACCCCTCGCTCTCGGGAGTGCCCGCGGTAGGCGAGCGGGGGACGGGGGGTCAACAGGGAAACACGGGGGAGGAGCATGGGCTGGCGGGCGGGGGAGGAGGGGGGAACAGGGAGGCCGGGGGAATGAGGGGGCACGGGGAAGGCAGAAAGAGAGAGAGAGAGAGGGAGAGGAAGAGAGGGAGAGAAGAAGGGAGATATAGAGAGACAGAAAGAGAGAGAGAGAGTGAGAAAGCGAGAGAGGGAGCGAGGAAGATGCCCTTCTCCCCGTCTCTCTTCCTACCTCCTGCCTCCGAACTCGTCCCCCCTACCTTCCCCCCTCCCTCGTTCGTCCCACTCCCAGGCAACGCTCTGCGCATTGGACCCCTGCACTCCAACGACAACTCTCACTGCATCCTTCTTGCTGACCCCTCCGTCCTCCCTCCTGCTCCTTCTGCAGCGTGAGGGGAGTCCTATCCATCCCAGTGGGTGGGAGAGCCTCCTCCCGTCTCCTCGCTCATGTCGCGGGGGGGATTTTTTCCCCAGTGTTTCAGGAGCACCATGTGTGCCCTGTCGGTAGCTCTGTGCCCGTACCCAGACCCCCGACGTCATGATTTGTTCATGACATCGACCCCCAAAGGTCTCGACCATCCTGAGTCGTTGTTTGACAGTGTCCCGAAGCCCGGTGAGGGCCCCCAGAGGCACAATATGGCAAAAAACCTCCCGTCGTGATGTCTTCATTGCTCGATGGGGGTCTTGGTATCCTCCCCCACCTCCTCCCCCTCCTCCTCCTCCTCCTCCTCCTCCTCCTCCTCCTCCTCCTCCTCCTCCTCCCTCCTCCCCCGTACGGTCAGGAACCTTTGCACAGCGCGTCCCGGCGACAAGCCGGGCGGCACGCTTTACGCCTTGCCAAAACGGGAAAATCGTGCCGCTCTCCGCCCTGCAGGGCGTGAGGCTGGGATTCGGTCGGGCATGTCCTTCTACAGCCAGCTTTTGAGAGAAAAACACCCAATAATCAAACCATAACATTACTAGCAAACACAATGAATAGAAACATCGTCCCCAAACTATAATATGGCTATTTTGAAAGATTCCTCCTGGAGAGGGACACGGACGACGAAAGGCTGGGGAAAACTTGGACGTGCAAGCCTGGGGACACGGAACTGGATTCGGCGACGAGCGAGGGGGGGAAGCGCGAAGGAAGTTGCCCTTTCCCCGAGGATCTGCCAGCCTGGGTCAATCCAGACCTAGGTCGGGCATGTCCCCCCACAGGCGGATTTTGGACGAAACATCAAACATGCTCCCAAACATGGTCTAACATATAAAATCATAAAAATCGTCCCCAATTTTTATAACTATTTTTGGATGTTCCACCTGTAGAGGGACACGCCCGACTTAAATCCAGACAAGGCGTTGTAGAATCCTGTTCGATCCTGCACCAAAGCCCGGACGAATGCGAAATATCCTGCAAGATCTTGGGGGATCCTGCACCCAAGTCTGGGTCAATGCGACCTTGGCCCTGCAGGATCCTGCAGGATCCTGCAGGATCGGGCGCTCTGGCTGACTCCCGTTTGCATTTACCCCCGTCTCAAGGCCACCGAACCATCTGAGACTCAGAAGGTTCGGAAGTCCCCAAGCCGATGGAGAAGTTTTCTAAAAGCCTTCCCCGGGGACGACCAAGCAAAAACTCCTCAGAAGGCGCGCCAGGGCGTCTGAGAAGTCCCGCCGCCTTTCGGAGAAGGCCTTCTCCCTCTCGTTTCCCCCCTCGCTCGCCGCCAACGCATAGCGTTAAGTCGGGCCTGTCCCTCGAATTAAAGGGGGGATGCTCAAAACTAGTACAGAACATGCCTGGGGACGATGTTTGGACTATCTTTAAATATTTTGGAGCATGTTTGGGGAATTTGTACTGTCTTATTCTCGGGCATATTAAATGGTAAATGTTTAATGTTTGGGCATATGTTCGGTATGTTTGTGTATGTGTTGGGTCTTTGAAATTCTTTGCCAAAATCCGCTTCCAAGGGGGCATGCCCGATCTAACCCCGGCAAGCCTTTAAGAACCCCCCCGGGATTATCATTAGCACCGCACCAAGATCTAATACTTTCGGGGGGTCGTTTTCGCAGAGCGATATATTTAGCACCTCGCACAAATCAAACCATACAAAGTCCGTGGCGCGCCGCGCGACGCGCAAGAAGAAATCCTTGGGGATGCCTTTGGATATGCTGTGCATTTCCTAAGACATCAAAGGATTGCCTCGGGAATCCCAAGGATCCGAGACTCCGGCGCTCAGCAGGGGCTAGCAAGGCTTGGCATGGGCTTAGCAGGGCGCAGCACGGCTCAGCAGGGGGCGAGTAGCAGGGCTTAGCGGGAGCTAGCAGGCCTCAGCAAGGCTTAGATTGGCCCCGAGCGCTCTCTACGGGCTCCTCCGGTGCCGAGGTAACGCTTCCAGGGTGCCAGATGCGTTATACTTTCACCGGATGAGGGGGGGGGGTTCTTAAAGGCTTGATGCGGTTAAGCACAGCGTGCCGCGCCGCGGCGCCGGTGGGCCAGAAGCGGCGGAGCGGCACGCTGCAGTGGAGGCCAACCCACAGGAAGCCTTCCACAAGACACCCAACCTTAGGTCGGGCGTGTCCCCCTACAGGGATAATTTGGGCGACACATAAACGAACATATTCGAATAGATCCAACACATGTTCTACAAATCGTCCCCTGACTATGGAATCAATTTTTGGAGATGTTCCCTGTAGAGGGACACGCCCGACGTAAACCCAACCCTGGGACCACAGGGCGTCCATTGACTGGCTTGTTAACATCCCCCTCGACTTTAGTTCGAGTTCGTAAATTTAAACATTTTCTAAATTAGCGCCAAGCCCGTAAGTTGTGTAAGTTCGTGCACGTATGCTTTTCAAACTTGTGCAGGTTTTTTTAAAGAGAAATGATGACTTGTGCAGGTTTTTTGCAGGGGAACCGATAGGTTGTGCAGCTTTTTCCGTTCTGTGGGATCGGGTTCGGATTTCGAACTGGTGCAGGTTTTCTTAAAGAGAAATGATGACTTGTGCAGGTTTTTTGCTTGGGAACCGATGGGTTGTGCAGCTTTTTCCGTTTTGTGGGGTCGGGCTCGGTTTTCGAACTTGTGTAGGTTTTTTTAAGAGAAATGATGACTTGTGCAAGTTTTTTGCTCGGTAACCGATGGGTTGTGCAGCTTTTCCCGTTTTGTGGGGTGTGGCTCGGTTTTCGAAATTGTGCAGGTGTTTTTAAAGAGAAATCATAACTTGTGCAAGTTTTTTGTTTGGGAACCGATGGGTTGTGCAGTTTTTTTTTCCGTTTTGTGGTGTCGAGCTCGGTTTTCGAACTTGTGCAGGTTTTTTAAAGAGAAATGATGACTTGTGCAGGTTCTTTGCTTGGGAACCGATGGGTTGTGCAACTTTTTCCGTTTTGTGAGGTCGGGCTCGGTTTTCGAAGTTGTGCAGATTGTTTTAAACAGAAATGGTGATTTGTGCAGGTTTTTTGTTCGGGAACCGATGGGTTGTGCAGCTTTTTCCGTATTGTGGAGCGGGGCTTGGTTTTCGAAGTTGTGCAGGTTTTCTTAAAGAGGGAGAAATGATGACTTGTGCAGGTTTTTTGCTTGGGAACCGATGGGTTGCGCAGCTTTTCCCGTGTTGTGGGGCGTGGCTCGGTTTTCGAAGTTGTGCAAGTTTTTTTAAAGAGAAATGATGACTTGTGCAGGTTTTTTGCTTCGGAACCGATGGGTTGTGCAGCTTTTTCCGTTTTGTGGGGCCGAGCTCGGTTTTCGAACTTGTGCAGGTTTTCTTACAAAGAAATGATGACTTGTGCAGGCTTGTGTTTGGGAACCGATGGGTTGTGGAGTTTTTTTTTCCGTTTTGTGGTGTCGAGCTCGGTTTTCGAAGTTGTGCAAGTTTGTTTAAAGAGAAAGGGTGACTTGTGCAGGTTTTTTGTTTGGGAACCGATGGGTTGTGCAGCTTTTCCCGTTTTGTGGAGTCGGGCTCGGTTTTCGAACTTGTGCATGTTTGTTTAAAGAGAAATGATGACTTGTGCAAGTTTTTTGCCTGGGAGCCGATGGGTTGTGCAGCTTTTCCCGTTTTGTGGGGTCGGGCTCGGTTTTCGAACTTGTGCAAGTGTGTTTAAAGAGAAATGATGACTTGTGCAGGTTTTTGCTTGGGAACCGATGGGTTGCGCAGCTTTTCCCGTTTTGTGGGGTCGGGCTCGGTTTTCGAGCTTGCGCAGGTTTTCTTAAAAAGAAATGATGACTTGTGCAAGTTTTTTGTTTGGGAACTGATGGGTCGTGGAATTTTTTCCCGTTTTATGGGGTTGGGCTCGGTTTTCGAACGTGTGCAAGTTTTTTACAAGAGAAATGATGACTCGTGCAAGTTTTTTGCTTGGGAACCGATGGGTTGTGCAGCTTTTTTCCGTTCTGTGGGGTCGGGCTCGGTTTTCGAACTTGTGCAGGTTTTTTAAAGAGAAATGATGACTTGTGCAGGTTTTTTGCTTGGGAACCGACGGGTTGTGAAGCTTTTTCCGTTTTGTGGGGTCGGGCTCGGTTGTCGAACTTGCGTAGGTTTTTTTAAAGAGAAATGATGACTTGTGCAGGTTTTTTGCTTGGGAACCGATGGGTTGTGCAGCTTTTCCCGTTTTGTGGGGTCGGGCTCGGTTCTCGAACTTGTGCAGGTGTTTCTAAAGAGAAATAATGATTTGTGCAGGTTTTTTGTTTGGGAACTGACGGGTGGTGAAGTTTTTCCGTTTTGTGGGGTTGGGCTCGGTTGTCGAACTTGTGCAGGTTTTTCTAAAAAGAGAAATGATGACTTGTGCAGGTTTTTTGCTTGGGAACCGGTGGGTTGTGAAGCTTTTTTCCGTTTTGTGGGGTCGGGCTCGGTTTTCGAACTTGTGCAGGTTTTTTTTAAGAGCAATGATGACTTGTGCAGGTTTTTTGTTTGGGAACCGATGGGTTGTTGAGTTTTTTTTTTCGTTTTGTGGGGTTGGGCTCGG